TCACGATTGATTTTCACTAAAGAATTCCACCGCGGCGTTTAAGGTCCGCGAAGACAATATGTCCTCCGCGTTCAGCTCTTGTGTCTTCGGTGCCATAGGGGTTATGCGGCACACCGTCGCCAATTTCTGGGGGGTCTGCCGGACATCCTCGTCTTCACTCTCGCTAATGTGGGTAACTACCTCCCGCGGTCGGGTAGCTGGGAGAGGCGGGTTGGAGCGTCTTGTTGGAGGTACATATCCCGAGGTAGATGGCTGGGGGGAAGCCTCGCGGTTGCTCGACCTCTTATCATATGGGGTCGTCGTCGTCCTCTTGCGTCGACCTCGCGTAGATAGCCTAGTCCGACAGGGCCCCGGTGCGGGCCGTTCTCAGGTGATTTTACACTCTTCCGTAGGGCGACTTGTTGGCTTTGCAATGTCCTTCATCAAAGGCGCTGTCGAAGCTTTCGTTTTTAGAGCCATCTCTCCACTCTTCGCCGCCTTCTTAGCTTTGGGCTCTGTTGTTGTTGCCGTTGTTGTTGCTTTCGTTTTTAGAGCCATCTCTCCACTCTTCGCCACCTTCTTAGCTTTGGGCTCTGTTGTTGTTGCTGATGTTGTTGTTGCTGTTCTTGTTGCTGACGTTGTAGTTGTTGCCGTTGTTGGGAATGGCCTTGGCCCCGCCGGGGTCAGCACAGCAGTCATTGCTACCACCGGCGAATCCATAGAGCCAACAACAAGGCGGGCAGCGGGGCGGGGCTCTGGCGCCAGCAGCGTCTCAGGCAGGGGCATGGGCGCGGTCGGCTTGGGGTGCATAGTGGCCACAACGACATCTGGCACTGGCCCCGGCTTCTTCGTAGTCTCAGGCAAGGTCGTAGGTGCAGTTGATGAAGTTTTGGGGGCTTGGCACATCGGCCGAACATTGGCAACGCCACTGCTCTTCAATATATCCGCTTCATCAAGGGACGTCATCCCCCCCAGTAGGATGAGAGCAGTCCCAAAGATGAAGGGGGCATCTGACCGGAATTATGAGAGTTGTTGTAGGGTATTCATAATTTATTATCCTGATACATGTGAAAGGTGCTGCACCTAGGCCAAGTTTCAGCATCTCAGCCTAAATAGAGAAGGAGAAAAAAAAAAAAAAATTATACAATTTTTCAACAATGTTCAATTGTTTTCACAGCCCACAATTGTGAACCAAAATCATTTCTACGACACTTAGCTATGACCTTACTATATAATAAAGATTTGGTTGTCAGATCTTTATTCCAGATGTATTTAGTGCAATAATACAGATTTCTAAAAGTTTCCCAAAAACGTATGCAACAAAATGAAGTGTATCATTATTTATAAAATCAATAAATCTACGTAGATAAGAATAATGACAACCGTTTTTAGAGGCGTAAACTCTACATATAATGTGCAAGTTTCATGTAAATTGAATAATAAATAAAGGCTGTGAGGGCAGATCTAGTTGTAAAAGTTGTAGTGGCGTAACGCGCCGCAACAAGATACTCATACTCGCGGTCACGATCTTCACTCGTGACAATGCGTGATTTACGCATTGCGGCCAGCTCGTGCCTTCTATGGAGAGCTCGCATGCATCTAGCTTTCAATGCTTTTCTCTTGTTCGTTTGGTAAGTCATATTGCAGTACAAATAGCAAAAATAGCATGAGTTCTGGGAGATATTGTGAGAGCGCGTCAGGGATACATCCACTCCCTAAGAGACACACACAGTGACTGAGGGGCTGAGCTACGTACCACCCTCTCTCTCACATGAGACTGTTGCCAATGAGTGAGTTTATATTCATTTTATGTATAACATGATATTTTCAACACTATTACGAAAAATAAGACTTCTACAACGTAAGTTACAATACCCTGCGGCGCACCTACGCCGCGAGGACCAGATTCACGAAAGTTGCAGCGGGAAATTTGACTCTAATTACGTTATTTTTCAAGATAACATAAAACGGTTTGCACCACAGTGTTGCCAGAACGTTGTAGTATTTTTCGTAATTTTTCGTAAATATTCCATTTTTCTTCGGATTTTCGGGTACCATGGCCCCTGAAATTGATCCCACCAGTCACCTCAATTTTTGAGCAGCCGTTCAACAATTCTGCAAATAAAAAAAAATCATTAATAAAATTTTATATTCACCAACAAGAAACATAAACACACACACACATATACACACGCGCGTTCTCACCTATATCAGAGTTATGTTAAAAAAAAATATATAAAAAAAAAACTCACCACGGGCGAATTCCATTTTCAAAACTTCGCTTGTGGGCTTCTAATGATGACCAGGACCCAGGGCGTTCGTCGGTGGGCAAGTTAACTCAATGAGCCTTAGGACTGGGCTTATATATATATACCCCTAAAACCTCTACCTATCCTCCCCCCCTCAGGCAAGCTAGGTCACCTGCTCACACAGGTTATTGCACGTCGCCTGGGAATCATCTCCCAAATCATCTCCCGCTCTGTCAAATGTTGTTGGACAGAGCGGCATATTCAGGTTATCA